GGGGGGGGCGTGCACCCTGAGCACCATCCCCTGGGGCCAGGCCAGGTGTGTAGGGGGCTGAGTGAGTGATGGCCTCCCTGGGATGGCAACAGGGGTCTTGGTGGGTGATGGGGACTGAGGGGTAAATGGGATAGGGCTGGGAGGTGGGGCATTGGTCTGGTGATGGGATGGAGCTGGTGATGGGATGGGGAGGCGTCCTGGGGCTGGGGGGGGAGCTAGCGATGGGTCAAGCCCGGTGGGGTCTGGGTGCTGGGGTGCTGGCAGGACAGAGGAGGGTGGGTGGAATGGAACGGGTACATTCCTGGCAGTCTCAGCCCACCCATGTGAGACGATACAGGGAAGGCATCCGCACCCCACAGCCCCTTTGGCCCCAGCCCCTGCTGTGCCCCCCCAGCTCTCAGCATGAAGGAGACCTTCCTGGTGCTCTCGCTGCACAACAAGCTGAGGAGCAAAGTGCAGCCCCCCGCTGCCAACATGCAGAAGCTGGTGAGCCCCCCGCCCCAGGTCCCCTCCCGCCTTGGAAGTCCCATCCACCTCCCACCCCATGCCCAGGGTGGGGGGCAGCCCACGGGTGAAACACAGTAGTTTGCTAATGAGCTAACGAAGCAGAATTGCTGGCCAACGTGGGGCCCCCCCGGGGAAAGATGCACCACCGGCACTGCCAGACCCAGAGCACACCAAGGGCAGGGCTGGCCCCTTGGGGACACCCATGGGGTTCCCCACATCCTATGGTGGCCCTTGGGGTCTCCTGATCACCCCACACCTGTATGCACCAGGACAAGGCTGGTCCTCTGTGGGGTCCCCCACATCCCACAATGGCCCTCAGGGTCCCACAGTCATCCTGCACCTACACACACCAAGGACAGGGCAGGTCCCCTGGGGTGTCCCCCCATGTCCTGTGTTGCCCCTCAATGTTCCCACACCTGCACGCACCAAGGACAAGGCTGGTGGGGGGTCCCGCACATCTCATGATGGCCCTTCAGGTCCCCCAGTTATCACACACCTGCACACACCAAGGGCAGGGCTGGTGGGGGGTCCCCCACATCTCATGATGGCCCTCCAGGTCCCGCAATCACCCCACACCTACGCACACCAAGGGCAGGGCAGGTCCCCTGGGGTCTTTTGCAGCTTCCCCCATGTCGGCCCTCTGATGTCCCCAGATCATCCCCCTGGACTGAGCCCTTTGGTGGTCCCCAACATCTCATGATGGCCCTCCAGGTCCCGCCATCACCCCACACCTACGCACACCAAGGGCAGGGCAGGTCCCCTGGGGTCCTTTGCAGCTTCCCCCTTGTCGGCCCTCTGATGTCCCCAGATCATCCCCCTGGACTGAGCCCTTTGGTGGTCCCCAACCTCCCTCCCGAGCGGTTCCCCGCTGTCCCCCAGCATCCCTGGGGACCCTTGGTGACTCATGTACCCCCGCAGGAGTGGAGCGAGGAGCTGGGGCGTCTGGCGGGGGCGCGGGCAGCCAGCTGCCTGGAGGGCCCCGCTCCACCGCCGGCC